CTAAAACCAGCACCAAATCCAGCCAGAACAACCCCCTCCATCACAGAGGTACAGAATACAGTTCATAGCCTTCTGATTTGCTGTTTAACTTCAATGAGCAAATAAACAAATAAGTATTTAAAATAAAAGCAAATTAAAAATGAAATCTTGTGGATTGTTTTTGTTTGTTTGTTTAAGACAGAGTCTTGCTATGTAGCTCAGGCTGCCCTTGAACTCACTATGTAACCCAGGCTGGCCTCGAATTCATGGCAATCCTCCTGCCTCTGCCTCCTGAGTGCTGAGATGACAGGAGTGTGCCACCACACTGTGCTCATGGACTGATTTTTTTTGAACAGTCTAATGTTGATGAAGACATGAAGGGTGGAAATTGTGAAGACCACACAGTTACATATAATGAAAGCTATGTTTTAAAAACATACAGATAAATACGTAAATAAAACACTGAACCTCACAAAATAATACTAGCATGAATATTACGTTAGTACTCAAGGATCTGAAATCCTTCACAGGACGGGCTCTGACATTCGACTGCCTGCTTTCCCATCTTGGCTCAGTCACATCTTGGTTTTTGGCAAGTTACTCAATGTCCCTAAACCTGTGCTTTCTATCTCACAGGACTGTTGTGAGGAACAACAAATAATGTAGGAATGATAAATAAGAGAGCAGCTTAGAACAGTGCTACCAAGTGCTCAATAAATCTTAGCTACAAGGTCTCTATTTAGTTATTTTATCTTCACAATGAAACGTTACACTATGTAAGTTATGCAGCCAAGTAACCACTGCAAGGTCCAGTGTATCCAGAGCCAGGTACCTTGGCACACACCTGTAATCCCAGCACTTGGGAGGCTGAGGCAGGATTGTTGGGAGCTTGAGGCTACATGGGAGGGCCAGCCTGAATTACATCCTATCTCAAAAAACAGAACAAAACAGCAAGAAACTCATCCAGTGTTTGCAGCCTTCAACAGGGTAATGTTTCTCAGCATTGAACAGATTTACTTAGCAAAGCTCTTTCAAATCAAAATGGATAATCCCATATTTTACCTCTATTTTATTGAATTGCGGAGCATTTTACAACTGTGGAAAATTTTGTTGTCCAGTCAAAGCTACATAACAAATTGTACTTCTCTTCCATGAAAAAAGAGCATCCTAAGATAAATGGTCTCTTGACTAAGCAAGTTATAATACAATGCAAACATCTGGCAGGCATTTATTTAGATGATTTATACTTATCCCAAACTTTAGTAGTCAATAATTCCCCAAACCCAAACAAACAAGTCAAAAGGTTAAAAATACAACAAAATAGTGCCAGGGATTTAGCTCAGTAGTTCTGCTGCCTGCTTCGCAAGCGCAAGGATCCGAGTTTGATCCCTAGTACCAAAAAACAAACGAACAAATAAATAAAACCAAACAAAAATAGATGTGCTTCCCTTTAAACTGTTAGCACGTTGTATTCAAGCCAATTTTCTAAGGAAGTCTGAAACTACTATGCAGGCATGAAAAATAACTCGGTTGGTCCAACTGTCTGAAGTTTTGAAAAATGATTGGATCTTTCCAAGTGTCTTTAACTTTCCAAGTTGGAGGAAGGGATACAATGGTCCCTTTTTATTCTAGTCTATCTGACAGTATTTTAAATTCAGCAAGTTTCTCAATATGGAGGAACAAAGTACTTATTTTCCTCTTTTCAACTTAAAATTGCTCCACTACAGGGTTAAAGGGTTGACATCTCTGTCTCTCTCTCTCTCTCTCTCTCTCTCTCTCTCTCTCCCTCTCTCTCTCTCTCTCTCCCTCTCTCTCCTCCAGTAGGTTGGTTATACATGATCTCAGAATTTTTCTGCATTATACAGCAGAAGATTTAAATACTTTTTCCCACTTACATTTCATCATAAATCTCAATTATCCATTAGCTTTAAATTTCTTCCCACTGTTTCAAAATACAAAAGCAGCATATGCCAGGTGTGGTGATGTACACCTGTAATATTTGGGAGGCTGAGGGAGAGTGATTGCCATGAGTTTGAAGCCAGCCTGAATTTTAGAGCAAGTCTCTGTCAAAAAACAAAACAAACAATCCACTACACATAGTGCAGTTTCTAGTGAAATGTGGATTTCGAACAAATTGAGCAAGTTAGCCATTTTTCTTGAAGGCCACACTGTGCAGTAGGGAAAAGAAAAAGAAAAGGTATGTTTTTTCAAAGTTGTTCTTTAATTTTTATTATTTAGTCAAACAAATGTCCATCTAATATATTTTTCAAAATTGTTCAATAAACTATTGTTGGATTATATTTTATCCAAGTAACTTTAATAAGCATTATCCTGAAAAGTTTTAAAAATGTTTATAGTGTTATATTTGTTGTCTCCCTAATGGTGACGTTAAACTTTCTTCCAATATCACTTAGAAGTGGTAACATAAAAAAGGGTTATTGTCATGATTATGAAGTAGGTTTTTCTCTTTCATAAAACTCCCACTCTTATTTTGGTACAATAGATATAGATAAGGGGGGCTCTTTCACCCAGACAATTTTTGTACATAACAATAATTTAAATATTGCAAATAATCATATCAACTGAAATCTATTATCATCTCCATTCTCCACTCATGCCGCCCCTGTGCTCTGTCAGCAGGAGCATTTTTTATTTGTTTATTTGAGCCATGACTACAATATACTACTTTAAAATTTAGGACTATTTTAAGTCACCTATGGCCTTAAGCAAAGTACTGTTTGAACTAGATGGTCTCTGGAGTTTCCTATCAGTGAGTTTCCACTTACCAGGGGAGACAGAAATGTGCTGGTCTAAGCTCTGTAAAACTCCAATTATGTCTTCTAGGAGGGCCAGGGATTTAGCTCAGTGGTTCTCCTGCTTGCCATGCAAGGTCCTGAGTTTGATCCTCAGTACCAAATAATAATAATAATAGTAACGATGATGATGATGATGATGATGATGATGATGTCACCTAGGAGGGCCAGCTGGCTGTAAGAGCCTTCAGGAAGCTTATTGGTAAATTTACCAGTATCTACAGTGCAGGCTCGGAGTCTGCTTTGTAGGCTCAAAATGTGAACTCTTGTCAATATGTTTACACGAAGTTCTTCTCTTGGCAGACTCACCCTATCCAGTTTGATAGAGACTGATAGGATGAATTCAGTTGGATAGGAAGAGGCAGTTGCATGTTGAACTCTGGAGACAAACTTCTTGTGTGGTCCACAGTGTTTTGAGTCTGGGACCCAAGGTCTTTTCTACTTTATAACATGGTTGAGTAGAAAATGTAAATATACTTAGGCTAGCTCAGTTTGGGAGAGGGAACCCTGGAGATGAGTAGAAATTAGACAGATAAAGGAAGGATGACTGCAGGGAACACTCCAGGCATATGGAAATAGCATTTGTGGTTTGATCAAAAATAGAGTGAATATTCAAAAAAATTTAAAAATTACAGTAAAAGACACATTGCCAATACTTCTCAAAGCACTTACCCACTGTTCTTGCTACTTTCCGAAGCAGTCCCAGAAGTCCTCCTCAGTGTCTTTACTTGAACTGTTGTGATGTCCTGAATTGATTCAAAACATTTACCTTTCATGGTCATTTTGATTTAGGGGAAGAGCCAAAAGTCACACAGTGTCCGTTCAGGTGAATAAGTTGGATGAGGCTGCACTGCAATGTTTTCATTTGACAGAAATGTTGATCAGTGAAGGTGATGAAAGAATATGGTGAACATGTGAATAAAACAATTATTACAGTAAAACTACATCATCATTAATCCTTTTTAGGATACCCTCCCTCATTTGAGCATACTTATCCCACCATTTCTGGCAATTGTCTCTCATTATTGGGAACAATGTCTTTCACTGTAATACACACTTTTAATTTAAACATTCACTATAACATTCACCCTCTTGTATATAATGGCTCAGAGTAAGGGAGAGACTATGATAAATTCACAAAACTGCCATAGTTCAGCATGCCTGATGTGCACAGTGTAAAGAAGAGAATGTCAAGAGATGAGGGTAGAAGGCCCAGGGATTTAACTCCGGTTCTGCCACCTCTCTCACAAGTGTAAGGTACTGAGTTTGATCCGTAATACTGCAGAGAGAGAGAGAGAGAGAGAGAGAGAGAGAGAGAGAGAGAGAGAGAGAGAGAGGGGGGGGGAGAGGGAGAGGGAGAGGGAGGGAGGGAGGGAAGGAGAGAGAGATTAGGGTAGGGACCATAGCTGGGGCAAGATGATTGCCACAAAAAGGAGTTTGGATGTTTGTCCCCAAATTGGGGGGACCTAGTGAGAATTTCAAGCAGGGGAGTGAAGATCAGACTTGTGCTTTAGCAAACTCATTCTTTTGGTTTGGTTTGGTTTTTGGGGGTCTTGCTCTGTAGGTCAGGCTGGCCTTGAACTCACAGTGATCCTCTGTCTCAATCTCCCCAGTGCTGAGAACACAAGCGTGTGCCTCCATGCCTGCTTCAGCAGGATTATTCTGACTGTAGTGTGGAGAATGAGCTGGAGAGATGCAAGATCAAAAGTGGAGAGGAGAGTTAGCAACCCAGGCTAAAAAAGGCAGCACAAAAATGAAGTGTAGCGATGTAGAATTTATACACCTAGCTCATTAGTTGCCTATGGACAGAAGCAAAAAGGGAATGGACAAGGCTGGTGTTCAGATTTCTAATTTGGGCATAGCGGTGGCAAGCAATCAAATATGATCCTAGAAGCTTGGAGGGAAGGGAAAGAAGGGTGTATAGAGAGAAGGAGTGGAGACATTTTGCATTGAGTTGCAGGATTTCCCGAGATATCTAAAGGATTTGTTCAATAGGCTGCTGAACAGTCAGGTTTCATATTCAGAAGAGATCCTTGCTGGACTTGGGGATCACCAGGAAATAAGACAGTAGGCTGATAAAAACCATAGAGTGACAACTTTGCAACTGCAGGGGGCTGGATGTTCACGGTCCTGTAGTTGTCAGCCCCCATGTCACCCTCCTTGCTCAGCCAACATTATTGAAATCACTGATACCCATCACTCTTCTGCATGCATGATGGCAAAGTCTGTTCAAAGTTGGGCTGTTCTGGTGTGGTCCGGGAGGGCAGCAATATGCGTTTTAGTGCCTGCTTGATTGTATCACTGCAAATACTGCTGCTGTGCTTTTCCCAGCTGGCCTTCCTATTCTGCAACTGGGATGACTACAGCGAGGAAATTATAGGGTCACATTGTAGAGAGGACTTCGTGCCATGGATGACATGGGGACTTTACCCACCTAACATGTGCTATGATATGGTGTGAGGAAGTAGGGATGCTAACCTACCAACCTGCTGCACAGCTGGGCATGGACACCTTTTATAATATGTTGAGAGCAAGACTGGAGTCTTTCAGTCACATAACTGGGCAGAGTAATAATCTTTATCTTTTTAATATTTAGAAAGGGAAGAAAGAAACAGATATATCCTTAATTAACTGTTGGTACTAGGGATTGAACCCAGGGCCTTTCCACTGAGTCACACCCCCAACACCTTTTTCATCTTTTATCTTCAAACAAGGTCTCACTATGTTGCTAGATTTCCCAGGCTGAGTTTCAACTTGCGATTCTCCTGCCTCAGTCTCCCAGAGTGTTGGGATTATACATCTGTACCACCACACCCAGCTAACAGAAACAGAAAGTCTTAAAAATTTTGCATGTCTAGACACATAAACACTATATGACCTTGCTTTGTAGCATCTAAAAAAACCTGCTGGTCTAATAAAATTTGAGAATAGAACAATAATTACTAGAGATGAAAAAAGGGGAGGGAAGAAGAGAGTCCCTGGTCAAGCACGATACAGGTACATAGAATACGTTCTGGGATCCTACAGAACAGCAGGGTAAATAATTCACAAGCATATACTGTACATCTCAGAACAGAAGAGAGGATTTTGAACGTGTTAACCATAAAGAAATGATAAAAGTTTAAGGTGATGAGTGTGCCAGTCACCCTGATTTGATCATGGCCCATTACATGTACTTCAAGACATCACATTACCTGGCAAACATGAATAATTATTGTGTCAATAAAAATAACACTAATAAAAATCAGCTGTTACTTAAAATTGTGTAACTCTGCACATTTACAAGAAGGAACTAATTAGGGGTAATTGGGATTTTTTTTTTTTTTTTTTGGTATGGGGTTAGAAGTTGGGACCTTACACTTGAGTCAGGCGGCGGCACCACTGAGCTGAATCCCCAGCCCAATAAGAAACTATTTAAATTTATTTATTGCATGTGATTGAAAAAAAAACCCACTTATATTTGGAGGTATATCGGGGTAACAAATCATACAATGAAACATTCCACTCATTTCTGTTAAACAGTTCTATGTTGGCTTCAAAAGTCATGCCCTGTCAGTTCTTCTACATTCTAGTCACTTGAAACAAGCCACTAAATCTAGCCTCTACTTTCCAGTGCAGAACTGGATTCTACCTTTTGGTGGGAAGAGAGTCAAAGAAATGGCAGGTATGTTTTAAATCACCACAGTCTAAGCAAGAGTCTACATACTTTGGAAGATTTATCTAATTATTGTACCACCCAAAACCTGTCTGAGATTTATCTTTCTGCTCCCTTTTACTTCCTTCTTTCCTGCCCCTTTCCACCCCTTCTATTCCATTCATCTCCCCTTCCTTTCTTTTCTTCCTCTTTGTCTGAGTTCTATGGCTGCTATTTGAAAGGAGCCCCATAAGCCTGGTCGTATGCATGCTTCTCTGGTGAGAATCAGTTGCTCCTGTGCAGCACAGCAGGTAGCTAGTCGGGTTTACCCAGGTCTTAGACTGTGCTAGGCGGAAATAATTGGAAGTGGGGAAGTCAAGCACATTTCCAGGGTGCAACCCAAAGTTGGGTCATGGTGGGTTTTCAAGGTGGGTTTTGCCGTAGGTGGGAAAATGACCGAAGGAAAGTAAAAGAGCCCAATGGATTGGAGGTCTTGATGGGGGTCAAAGAAGCACGATGACTGTGAGGATGTTAATTTAAACAACAGAAGAATGAAGAGGAATTAGTGGTCACAAATGAGTAGGGTAAGCACGATTGCTATGTGCAGGATTAGTGACGGGCATTCTTCCATGATTACGTCTCTACCACAGCTCATTTTCCTCGGGAGTAATTAAGTTCTCTGGTGTATTAGTCCAGTGTTAGAATTATAAACTGCAAGGGAGTACAAAGATTTCTGAACACCCCGTCTAGATGAGCAGTAGAGCACCTATGATGATAATAATAATGAAAAGATTCTATGTAAGAATTCCAGGCAGGGCGGACATGGTACTTGCCACTAGTAAGAAGCTTTAAAATAATTCAAAAAACAAATGAAACAGTCACTTGTGTCACTGAGAACGTTTCTCATATTGTTTGAATAAAGCTCCGTGTGTCTAAAAAGATGGAAAATGTTTGCTATATAAGTGGCTTCTCAATAGCAATTAATAATGTATTAGTTGTAGGCGCGGTTGAGGCAGTGTAGAGATGAATATATAGTGAAAAAATATATTTGGAAAATACATACTGTATAACCTTTTACACTTGACAAAACATTTTCACATTTGTGAATCACTTGAAAACAATAGTTTGCCGCATTTTTTCCCACTCTACTTTTCCAATAAGCTTCACAGACTTCACGATGTGCGTCGTTTACCTTGGGCCAGGTTAATGCATTATTCCCTCTTCTTCCCATTTCAGCAATATGAAAGCCTTTTTATGTGCCACCCTCCGGCCCAGGGTGAAAGCTGAGTCTCTTGGCTTGCGAGCACTGGCAGAATGGTAGGGCACAGGAGCTCTGACTTTCAAGTTTAAACAATAACACTGCGCCTGGAGGTCAGTTCCAAGTCCACATCTGGGTTGGACACGTGATTATCTGCGATTGTGTTTTTCTCTTAATGTGTAAAACGCAGGTATTAATGACGTTTTATTGAGGTACCTACTATCAGAATAGAAACATTCCTCAGAAGAGGCTGAGAATGGGCTTTGGAAAGTACCACATGTTAACGACACCAGCCCACTAAATACTGTCATGGTCCAAAAGGACACTCCCAAACTTTTCTTGCCAATTCAAATTCCAGCTTCTTCTCATCCGTTTTCCTGGTTCCTCCCTGTGGCCGGAATCCAAAGCAGGAAGGCAGACGGGCTGGAAAAGCAGAGGTAAGCCCCGCAGCCCAGTGAGGTACGCAGGTGTTCGAGTCCGTCCTCTGTGGACCCAGGGGCCGGATCTGGCTCGGGCTCCCCCAGTGTCCCCAGACAGGAGCGGGCACAAGAAGGGGCTCAGTGACAAATTCTACAAACTAAGCTGAAGCGTAGCCGCCGGTGGCATCACGCAGGCGGCCCATGCTCCCGCCGGCCTCCTGGACACCCGCGGGCCGGACCCCGGGGG